CCACGCATTTACCAAATTACAGTAGGATTTTGACAAGCAGCACATAAGGCTGGTTCTTTGTTAAAATGTTGTGTAATGAAATGAATGAAAGGTGACAGAAATTTTCTTCAGGTGAATTTCCAGCAATCCAGTGTGGTCTGGAATAACCCCTCTGGAGCAGAAGCCCCTTGGAAAAGAGAGGGTGGTGGCAGCTGCCTGTTTATCTGACCTCTCAGATGACTGAGAAATCGATGCTCCAGAGATTACACCAAAACCTTGTTAGAAACAAGGGCATTCAATTTAACTATTACATTTTGCCTGAAAACATCCACCTTATTTTAAACTTGCTAGAAGTTTTAGCAAAGTTTCTTAGAACAGAAAGAAATCAGAGGGGAAAAAAATCTACTGCTACTCAGTTTAGTTCCTGTCAGCACGTGACAGCAATTTTCATTCTTTCTGAGGAGCCACTTTCTTCTGCTTGTGTAGCCTTCTCAAAGAAGAAAAAGAGAAAACCCAACACTTTTCAAACCTGCAAAAAATGAAGATGAGAGATAGGACAGGTGCAAAAACTTCAGTTCTTTCAAGCTAACTAGGAAGAAAGAGGAAATGAAAAAGAAAGAAAGAGCAAGGAGAGAAAAAAAGGAGAGAAGGAAAGGAAGAAATGCCGGGGGGGCACACAGAATGAGAAAGAAAGAGCAAAAGATGAAAAGAGAGAGCGAAAGAGAGAAAGAGAGAGAAAGAGAGAGAGAGAGAGAGAGAGAAAGAGAGAAAGAGAGGAAGGAAGGAAGGAAGGAAGGAAGGAAGGAAGGAAGGAAAGAAGGAAGGAATCCTTAGTGAAATGTGAAGGTGAGCAGGAAACTCTCGGTTTTACTTCAGTGTGAACAGTTATTAGTGAATCTGAAATGCTGCTTCCACAAAGCATAGACAACTTCTTCTGAGTTTCATAGGTGCAACCAAGGATCACTGGCAAAATGAGACCAGTAACTCTAACTTTGTAACTCCAACTGCCATATGCGGAAATTGCTTATACCCTCAAAAACCCAATAATGGATTTAAAGTAGAGAAATTTGTTTAAAAAACAGGGAAAATTAAACAATAAATTACAAGTTTTAAAATGTGTTGTGCTCTGGATCCCCCTTGATTCTACCCATATAGACATTTCTTAATGTGGAGCATTAAAGCCCTATTTCTCTTAAAGAGCATTCTATTGACTTCAGCATGCTGGGTCAAACTAGTTGCATTATACCAAAGGGGCATACTGTATCCTGAGGTAAACTCAAAACAAGAGGCAAAGCTTACATCTGCAAAGTAATCTGTATTTCTTTAAAAAGAAGAAGGAAAAAGGGACCCAAACAACACAGAAATCCATACAAAAAGGAATTTTAAGTGGTTAGGAGGAACAAGACAATTAGAAAGAAATAAAAGGCATTACAAAAGGAGTTTTAAATTTGAATAATAGTGTTGCTCAATCTCTATCACCTATGGATTTAAAAGTAAAACTTCAGAAATAAAAAAAAACAAAACAATGCTAAGAAATTAATTCCCATTAATTTCTAAGGTGTTTTACACAAAGAAGAATGGCAAGATATAGCCCATCTCCTCATGGAAGATAAATACATTTATCTTTATGTAATATGGGAAGAGGCAAGACACACACAGCTTGCATGATTACTAAACTGGCACAGTCATGTGTACTGCCCTATACCATGAAACGTGTCTGAATCAGCAACTTCATAACCTCTCCCACAACCTACCTCTGTAAATAAAAATATTTTAAACATATTTTTAAGAATCTCTAACCATATTCTTATTTGAATCAAAGATTCAGGGATATAGTTTGTTCTACACACAAAGGTGACTTTGCTTGTCCTGAATACAATCAGAAGTCTCTTTTGACTTTAAGTGGTAGATGGCCAGCAGGTAAAACAAACAATTCAGCTCAATATCTAGTAATTAAACAAAGACTTATAAATATGCCATTAAGTTACTGGTCATTCTAAATCTCCAAACAACATGAAAAATGGGATAAATATAAGAAAGGGATCTTGTAATTTCCAAATGTTGCATCTTGTGAACAAATGCGTATTTGCCAATGAGTGTGAAAACCAGCACCTTTTAATCAGTAAAGAGCACTGAGGCACACAGAAGGCAATACAACTAATTCTTCATTTCTTCCATTAATAAACTCAGGAACAGTTTGTGAGCACACAACAGGCCACAGGTTGGCCCAAATCTCACATGCTAAGAAATATCCCTGTGATTAGTTCAGAGAGCTGACACTATGTCTACGTAAGCATACACTGATCTTAATGTCACTTTTACTAATTCACGATTCTTGGTCAGGCTCTAGTTGAATAGGCATGTTTATATGTTTTATAAACTATTCTAGCTAAATGACATGCAATTCCTTCTTGGTTGACAACTACAGTGTAAAAAAGTCATACCTTATGGTGTAATCAGAACATACTATGAAAGTCCATACACTTTCTGTAATAAAGACTCATTTAAATAATAGTTGGATCAATGCAAGCCCACTAGGATGGCAAACTTAAAGTTACTTTCAGTAGTTTTGCTCTGAACAATACAGAAAATATACCCCTTTAACCCTGAGATGGTGTAATCACTTCTTGCACAGAACCTGTTAACAAACATAATTCCACTTTTTAATACTCAGGACCTTAGACTGAATACAACTCTCATGAGACTGCACTTTTTGCAGTTGTAACAAACCATGCCTTCATATTATTACAGCTGTCTGCTGCACTGCCCCAAATCATGCAGTTCCAGAGACATCTCTTGAAAATGCTGTTGAACCCCCAGGATTATTATGAACTCTCACAAACTACTGAGACCTGTGATTGTTACATTTAGAGTGTGTTAACAATTTTAGGTAAGTGGTAGCCTGCAGCTACTATTGCAAATACGTGGAAATACATTGTAAGATCATATTTTGTCTCATCTGAAATTTACATGCACTCACTATGCTTACAGAAGAAAGCTTATTCACATAAATGTTACAGAGCAAGAATGCTCCACTTTGTTCTTCCATAATACCATGGTTTTCCGTTCTTTTAAAAGACCCTTTATAGATCCTATGGAAGAATGTTGCTTTCAAAAAAGTTTCGCCATTAATTCTGGCAAATTTTATACTGTTTGCCTTTCTGGACTGCTTCAATAGTATTAGCTATTGCTGTGATAGATAGTAAAGCAGCTGCCGACCTAAAGCATACAACTAAGGCAAATCTAGTTATGAACTTTCTAATGTAGTACTTCTAGTGTCACAAAGATATGACTGTCTAGCAAGGATGCACTGTGACAAGAACACTTTGAGCTGCTTTAAATTTAACACATCCAAAAATAAAAAAATTATTCACTGTGAGGAATGCAGCATGGGCATTTGTATTTTAAGATCTTTTTTTTGTCATCCCCAAAAATGATGCAGTAATTTTAAAGTATATGGAAAGTGTTGATGAGGAAACTGAATCCTGAAGATCATGAAAAATATACGGTCATTGTGTCTACGCGTTAAAAATTATTCTACTGTTCTAGTGCATATAAAGAAAGGGTTAGTTTAACTGAAATTCCTCAGGGACACTAGTGCTAGTGTACTTGTCTATTTTCAAAATACTTGCCTTAGCCACAGAAATAGTTAAGAAATAACATCAGTCTTCATAGTTGTAATAACACAGCTACCTTCAGCCTTCCAAGAGTAAGAAATATCATGAGAATACAAATGCGTTTGTTTTAGTAGTGGATGCTTATGAACTCTGTTCCTAAGGGAAAGTTTTCTTGAAAAGGTATCCTCCACATTTGGATCAAAACAGAAATCAGCCTGACACAGAGCATTAATGCACTGCTCCTAATTTCTAGGCCACTATAATCAGAATATTTTGAATCATTTTCCCATCCAGATTCCTGTACCTCCAAGATAAGTTTTTCAAAAGATTAAAGAACACCAAAGAAGACTAACACTAGTCTGTTTCATTAGGCAATCTGGAATTTTGAGAAACTTGTGCACTTGGATGAGGTCAAGAGGTCTAGATGATTGCCTTCTTCAGATCACAAATGAGATTAGCCCAATAATTGCCCACCTTGTTTCATTTACTGCAGGACTGCTTTGGGCTCAGAAAAGAAAATCAAAGAAAAAGGAAATGGAAGAATCCAAAGGCACATAAAGTGGCTGAAAAGACACTCGAACAACACATCAAGCCTACATAGATTTTAAAGAGATTGGGCACTGAAACATGAATCTAGACTCAACCTTTTCTGAGATTCAGGTGTGTTCAGAACTTAACAGAGATGGTGCAAATGTCCTCCCCTCCATCAAGCTGTAGCCTACATGTAGTTCAGGAGACTAAAGTCTGATGTAGATAGGTTCAAAAGAGTAGCAATATAGAAGTAAAAGCACAAAGGTAATAGAAAAGCAAATTAGGATGCCAATAAATTGGTTGAATGATCAATAGATCTCCATGCACTGTGAAGTGAAGGGTTAAAACACCCCCATATCTCACTTTTAACAAGCAGTGAAGCTGAAGCCCAAGGAGACGCAGCAGCTTGCTTAGTCCTGTAGCAAATCAATGGCAAATCTTCCAGTTTAGTACCTCATCTACTACTATATGGTTTGTGACTTGCAAGACGCAATAATCCTCAGAGATAATGTAATTTCATAGACTAGGAAAACTTTGGTATACCTAAATTAAAAGCTAAACCATTATTTTCTTATGGTGCTTTCAAATAAGATCTGCTACTGCAGCTTAACCCATGACAACTATACAAAACAGTTCAAAAACTGATAACACATTCCCCCCAAAAAACCCCCAAGGAAACAACATAAATTGAGAAAATAACCTTTGAATTTGTACACCTCTTCCAAACAAGGTAAAAGTCACCTTGAAAGAATGAACACAGATGATTAAGATGAGCACCTTAAATGATACAAGTATGGAGGAAGGGAGAGAGTGAGACAGATGTGAAGGGAGGAGTCATGAGAAAAGGCGTTAGGGTAGGGCTTCTCTCCTTACTTGGCACAAGCCACTGATGCACATGTCCAGGGATTCAGTGTAGCACCGGGTCCCATCCAGAACCTTTGGTGCCAGTTCCACAACCAGAGCCACTCCTCTGGCCTGGCACTTCAGTGAGCAAGGGTTGTCAGGGTCGTTAGAGACAGGAAGCCATTCATAAAACTGTCCCTGGTACTTGACGTCGTTGTGAGCAGAGCACTGCTGGGCACGAAAATCACCTGCTTCTGGTGGGCAGTCCTGCAGAAAAGAAAGAGGAAAAGGTTAGCAGGTCTATCTGGGACAGTCAGTTGCAGTATCATGCAGCTGGCTGTGCTCCATAGCTGCCAGATGTAAAGAGTTTTTCTGTTTAAACAAAGAAGACTGATTGAAATAGCTACAGATACACGTAATTCAACTGGATAATTATACCTTTCTTTCTTCTTTCTGCAAAAATATTGAAAGAACATCAAGACTGTGTGTAAATATGCTTGGGACATAAGAACTGCACTGTATGTGTCTTAACCACAGCCCTGAAAATCTCTTGCTGAATCTCTTTCCATTTGTGCACATATGTGGAAAAGTCTGTGTGCACAGCCACTTTCTTCCAGCCAAATTCTCCTCTTTGTTTGAAGAGAAAGGAAAAAGGATTATGTGATTTAATTACTTGTTTATTTAAGCTCTCCTCACTAGCTTTTTTTCACCTCAGTGACCTAAATCAGTTGGAAGGGCAACAAGAATCAGGAAAATGTGATACATATTTGCATTTCTTTAACCTAAGATTTCATAACTCTCATAATTAGTGAGTTATTGTTATTTTACCAGAAGACCTTTAAAAGGCGCTTTGTTCATCCTTCAGGAGGTTTGTGAGACATATAAACCCTACTCTGAACCCAGTACACCTGATATAAAAAAAAAGACCACTCATACTACTTAAAGTCTCTTGTTCATGAGAACGTGAGGCTTCTCTTACCCACATATGCTTTCTTGCCATAATTTGGCATTGAAAACCTGGAGTCAAATTCTCTAGAGAGCAAGAAGAGCTTCAAAATAATGAGACTTCAGGCAAAATAAACACAAATTCTTTTTATTTCCTTTACAGTTTGTGATCCTTGCAGAATGATATTTGAAGTTTTCCTGTGCAAGCAACCACAAAGGCTAGAGATTCATTGGTTTTCTTAGAAGTAACCTGATTTTCTCACATACTTAAAGGAATACAGGAGCTAAGCTTTAGGAAAAATATTAAACATCATGAGAACTGTGACAAAAAAGCTAAAATTGGCTGTATGGCTGCCTCAGATTACTAAAGTCCCATAGTCATCCACCTTGCCGCTATAAGGAAATCTGCTCCTCAATGATACCTGGTCAAATACCAGGTAAAATGAATACCTGTTATACCCTTTGCTTGAGGACCGTAACTTTTTTTTAGAGAGAGTCATAAATGTTGAGTATAGACTTGATAGGGAAGGATTTTGATGCGTATACAACCACACAACTAGACAACATCCTTATAAGCTGCCTGTATTCTCTGTTTGTCCTCAAAGTACTTTGTCCTATAGAAATTCAAGTGTCATTAATAACAACCTTATTCATAAACTTTTCCTCCCAGCTAGGAAAGTCTTACTGCTATTGAGGTGAAACATCTCTTCTGAGGTTTAAATAATGATTTCTGTTTCTCAGACCTTCTTCTACCTCTTCTGGAGGGAAATTATGCCATCCAGAGGGACCCTGACAGCCTTGAGAGGTGGGACTATGGAAACATCATTAAATTTAACAAGGCCAAGTGCAAGGTCCTGCACGTGGGTCGAGGCAATCCCAAGCACAAATACAGGCTGGGTGGAGAATGGATAGAGAGCAGCTCTGAGGAGAAGGACTTGGGGGTGTTGGTTGATGAAAAGCTGAACCTGAGCTGGCAGTGTGCGCTTGCAGCCCAGAAACAAATGTGGAGGTGATTCTCCCCCTCTACTCCATTCTCGTGAGACCCCAAATGGAGTATTGTGTTCAGATGTGGGGCCCCCAACACAAAAAAGACATGGACCTGTTGGAGTGAGTTTAGAGGAGAGCCACAAAAATGGTCAGAGGGCTGGAGCACCTCCCCT